CCTCTCTCCCCCAGCCCCAGTTCAGTTTTGGTAACGAAGATTGATGAAAATCAGAGAGCTGCAAGAGCAGCTGGCAAACAAAACATCCACCAACAAAGAGGAGACCGAGCTGGTCCAATCCAGCATTCCAAAACAGATCATCTTTTTAAGTTCAAAAATTCAAGGACTTGCCTTCTTTAGATTGATATGGTTGGTGCCACTATCAGCCAGGTCTCATTTCATCCTGAGCTTCTGTTCTGAGTAAAAAATTTCTGAAATTCATGCAGGGATGCACAAGTAGATTAGACGAAGTTTCAAATATACCTGAAATCCCAACGGTCTATAGAAGCAATCTGCACCAAAGAAACCCTGAATGTTTAAAAAATAGGTCTCCTTACAAGAAATATGGTACTGACATACATGCATTTCTGGAATTTACTTCTCTTAGCTGAGACAAGGGAAAAAAAAGAAAAACCTCATATAAGGGTAGTAAAGTGCTGGGTTGTTTTTTTTTAAATTACCCAATGCAGAGTTCAATTATGCTCCAAGAAAAGGAAGCAGTTTTAGAAGTTACTTGCTTCAAGGCTAAGAGCTGGATAATAATGCATGATTAAAAATGAGGGACCAAGATGAAGATGTAGCTCTGGAACTCAGCTTCTTTTTACCCATGGAACTCATGTCTACATTAAGCACAAGATTTGCTATTCAACTGAGGAAAAAAACTCTGAAGAGATCCTTCTCTTTCAGGTGGAAAGTGCACAGAATACAAACCTTACAATAGATTTAAACAGCTTAAAGGGCTTTATTTTTTAATAAAGACTGAGAAATGCAAGAGAAGGAAGGAATAAATTTCAGTATGAATAGAGGTGGAAACACTTTTTCAGAACCTGTGAGCAGATGAAAAGACTGTTTACCACAATTGCTGTGACTTCTGCAGGCTCAAACACATGGGTTATTTTGTAGGTGACAGTGTTAAAAATTAGATGTTGTTACAAACTGCATATTTCAAATCCAGACAGAATGCAATAAAATCTTGATTGCCTTTAATTGTTTGAATTAGGCTAAGACAAATCTTTTATCAAGTCTACCACCCTGGCTGAAAGACTGTTTAATGTATCACCCTATTTTAGAGACAGAAAATAGAAAAACCTATCTACAAAGTATTTTTAAAAGCATGGGTTATACCATCCTTCAGAGAGCTGGGTGGAGTCATGCCCCCTGCAAAAGACCTATTAAGGCAGGTAACTCTGAAATCCTGGGAATACAGAACTCATCTACACGTCAGAATTAAAAGATTACAGTTGTCCCAAGCACTCAATTCTACTGGATGACTGTGAGAGGAAGGAGAAGGAATGATAAGGGTGACTGAGATATCCAAAATCTATTTGTAGCCTTCTAGCCCACGATGTCATGCTGGAAATAATTAAGCAATCATGTGTTTATTAATGACCTACCCAAAATATTCCCAGGGATACATCAGCACAGACACACTACCCAGAACATCGCTGCCACCAGTAAAAATCAGCAATGGTATTAATTTCTCATATAAATAAAGGGACATGAATGTTGTACTGCATACAATTTTTCACTAGATGTTTCCAGTATTATTAATAGCCATCCATGTCTATGTTCCTACAGAAATGTTCCCAGCATTAACTTCATTGCAACAGTTTAGACAAAAGATCTGAGATTTTATTGGAAATGCCATTCAGAGGAACATTATTGTCAGAAAAATAATATGTTGCTATACTTGAGCCTGTTTTCCATGTCTTATTTTTAAAATAACTTTTTTTTACCATCCTGAAGTTCCTACATATATATTTAAGTAAGTGCACTAAATTGCACTCGTTACCACCATCAAGATGGTGAAATGACAGAAATTCACACAGGGAAAAGCAACTGGTGCAAATCAGGATCACAGCAGCTCTACCTCAAGAGAAAAGCCAGGCAATACGGGCTGTGGGGAAGCAATGATATTCAATGCTATTTCCTCCACCTACAAGTTCTTCCAAGATAATTCACTTGAATTATTTAAAGATGGTTCCGCAAGAAAACAAGAATTTAATCCTATTTATGTCTTTAGGGTATTAAAAAGGAGCCTGATAAATCTGCATGTACTGCCAACTAAATGCCCAAACTCCCCCTCCTGTGCCCTAGAAAGCTATGGTGGTAAAAAAAGCAGCCAAAGAACATTAAGCAGTGAAAAACTGGGCAGCAAAAAGGGACTTGGAGACTGAAGAAATCAGACTCAGAACCTCTGGCTCGACCTATGAAGAACCCTGGAAGGTGTCCTGGTTATCTTCACTTTGAGGAATTAAAGGGCAGTGAATACAGTTAAGTGTATCTCATGCAGCCCGTGTATTCATACCTTGAACTACTGGAAGGAAAAATGCACAGCCTACTTCAGATAGCTGAAAGAACTGCAGGAAAACCTTAAATCATCTCATGTCATTTACCACTTCCCTTGTTTTGCCAATACTCCTCAGAAGATAAGTCTAGAATTGCTGCTTCAGGCCACTTTCAAGGGAACCATTTCAATAAACAATAGGAATATTAATTTGCTCTAATGCAAGCAAAAGCACCTGCAATAAATCTGTGGAATTCTTTTTTGTATCAGCAAAGTTTATCCCAGTAACTTTAATGCTCTCTACAGAATTGCTTTAAAAGCATTCCTTACCGTTAGAATCTTCAAATCTGTTTTTTAAAATATCTTCCTTAATTGGTTGTTGAAAAAATAATTCAGAACAACGTATCAACATATTATCCCTGTGAGTGCTGATATTTTTAATTAATATATCTGACTGTAAACTGATAGTTACATTTGACTTTTATAATTCCACGTGACAATTTGAAGAACACCTTAACACGTCAAGTGAAACTCTGGACCTAAAGGCCACTTCCTTCAACTTCCCAGCACCAATATTATCCAGAATAGCTGTATGATGTGTCAAAGTAGGAAATAATTTCCCAGCATTGTGTTTGACCTAAACAATGTACATAAAATCCCTTTGACATAGTGGCACTAAAATTTTAATTTACAGATCACTAACTGGATGGCAATGGTGTGAGTATTTACACAATTGGAAGGCTGTACTCAGCAAAGTATTACAGGTCACACTTGTAATATGTAAAAGCAGAATGCACATGGAGAAGCCAAAAGCTGAAGATCAGTATCCTAAAGCCTTAAGCACTAACCTCCAAATAAAAAAGTGAAAGCTTGTATTTTCTACTAAGAAAATTGTGTTACTCATCAGTTCTTTCAAATAACTTCTGACCATATTTAAAACCAGTCCTAGAGACCAAAGCCAAATCAAACCTGTGTATTTGCAGAGACATCCTCCCAACAATCAGGGATTTGGGTATTGTTTTCCTTTGGTGTGGGGGATTTTCTTGCTGATGTTCTTTGGGTTTAGGTTGGGGTTTGGTGGTTTTTTGCTTATCTGACAGTAGAAACAAGGAATAATCTCCCCTATTGAATTTTATCCAAAGATGGTAAAGTTTTCAAACCACTTCCAACTTACGTGAAAAGTGAAGTACGTTGTGGTAAGATGATAGAAGTAGACGCAAATGTATTCTTTATAGAATGATGTGCAAACTAAAAATTGAATATTGAGATATATAAACTAAGAAACTATAGGCTACTTCTGTCTGAGGTCTACTCACAATCAGATGTTAACATACACAAGGTAACAGAAGAAAATGTAGTGCAAGTTCTGTTCCCTACAGCCTAAATTAAATACTTTTCTCCTTCTACTTTACATAGAACACTGAAAGAAAATAGAAGTGCAGAGATTTTTATAACCTTGACAATTCTGCTTGGAGGCAACCCCTATTTCCTCCCCATGGTTAGAGCATACCTGGAGGCAGGTACATAATATGTTTAGGGCAGAAAGATTTCTCTGTAAACAATCAAGCAAAAGAGTCCTAAATCTGTTTGAGGCCTTCCAGAGTAACAGGTGTAAAGTATATAACCTAGAAATTGGTTTGCCAGGTCCTGCAAAGAACACACCTATCATAATGTCCATGGACACATGCTACTAAAATATCATCACTGCAGTAATGCTGAAGCTCAATGTCTTTGCAAAGTAGTGGTGTTTAAAAGTAAGATATTTGTAAAACAAGAGGAGTCAAATGAAACAGGGAGAGCTTGACTTTGTAAGATATGGAATGCAGGTCCAAGTTGGAGGCATGATTTAATAAAAAGATTCCTTAATTTAGGAAAGCACTGTAAAAGCTCACACACCTAGAACTGAAAGCCCATGGTTTTGTTCCATACCTTCTTTGCAGATTATGTGCAAATCTACGGCCCTCAGTCTCATAGCAGCCTTTTAATATATTCTTATTAAATTATGTACCTTGGACATCTCTGCAAAAAAAGGAATAGCTGTCAGAAGCTACTGTTACTGCTCATTTAGCAGTGCAGCAAGAGAAGGAGAAAGGCTCAAGAAGGCCAGTGGAAAGGCACCAGAATTTAGTGTACGTAGATGTTAGACAGAAACTTGAACCATAGCTAGGATTATTTGCCTGTGCTACAAAAGATGTGATTAAAATTTACCTGTTGTCTCTACTTAAATACTCTTCCTCTTAAGGAATGAGAAATAACCACTTTGCCTCTGAAGAAATCAGAATGAAAGGTACACCCATGAAAAGAAAAGAAGCCTCTGCATGAAGATGCATGTTCTGAAATAACAGCGGTCACAAAGATTAAGCTTTGGAGAAAGATAAATGTATTCCTGATCCAGAAACAGCTGTTTCTACCTAATTAGGAGCAGTAAAATGTCCTTCTAGCCACCTCCACTGTCTAGAGCTCAAGGGGAGAGTAAACAGTATAATGCCCCTGTGAACTGCAGCCTCTCTGAATATAAGGCACCTAGAGCAGCAGCCAAACAAAAACTTGTTTGGAGCATTAAGAAAAAAATTGTAGGCAAGCTGATAATTTTGTATTGTGAACATCTAATTAAAAAAAAAAAAAAGTTTTCCCCCTCTTGAAATACCCCAATCAGTACTTTTGGTACACATACCTCGAAGAATTCTCTCCTCATGGCAACGTAGAAAGTCCCAGATTCTAACAGTGCCGTCGTCAGAGCATGTAGCAAATTTATTATCCGTGGGTGAGAAACTGTTACATGAAGACACACAGCAGGGGAAAGAAGTCAGCATTTAACAGATTATCTATGCTTCTCAGACAGGGCAAAATTATACTGTAATGTGTTATACACTGAAGGAGGCATTTGAACATAGGCACTTCTAAGTGAATACAGTGCCTGCCAAACGGCACTTCACCACAAGACATGAATTCAGCATAGGATTACTATTGCATTGCAGTCCCCTGTCAAATGAGGAAAAAATCTGTCATTTATTCTTAGCACCCTCCTGTCTGTGACTGCACATAGTAGTGCCTTCTCTGCAGGATGAGATACAACATCAATACAGTTTGGTAACTGTCAGCCTAGATTTTCATGTTTGGTAATACCACAAGAAAGTGACACTGCATAGAAGCACAGGAGAACAGTTCTTAGGAAAAAAAACTCCTCTTCAGTCACAGGTGCTTTGCAGCAGAGAAGCAAAACATAAGGGAAAGCTGGTTACAGAAAAATGCTACGTGGTTTAACTGTTGGGGGAAAAAAACCTATATAAAACAAACATTTATAAGAGCAATTTGGAAACACTCCCTCTTATTACACCCCACCAACAACATGAAAAGAATCCTAGAGACACGTAAGCAGCTTCCAGGTTCAGCAGTTAATATTGATTGATGAAAGTCACTGGAAAAGCAAGGAGTTATTTAACCATGTGAATAGGGCCAGAACACCTCCAATAACGACAGGCACTCAACTTTCTTTCTGGTGCAGTGAAAGACCACAAGGGAGTCCTTGTGAAATTCTAGATCTTTATGATCAAGAAAAGGCCTAAAGCAGTAGAGAAATTCAGTGCATGGCCATGATAGTCAGACAATAACTGAATCCAAAGTAAGCACTTCTCATAACCAAACTCTGGCAGAAAATGCTGCAGCCTACCAAGAAAAATGGTGACTTTAGTGGAAAGCGAGTTTGTGGCAGTGAACCTTTATCACCAAGGGCCAGCACCTGAACCCAAAGAAACACTGTTTTAGCACCATTTGGGATCTGCAGCTTCTCTTCAGACTTACTTCAAAAACATTTACTAAAAATTATATGCAGGTTTGCTCTAGAAACACCCTTCATTTACATCTTACTGATAAATATCACTTTGGATTTGATTTTTATAAAGACATTTGCACAACTGAGGCATCAACACTGAACCAAGAGAATATCCTACAATCTTCTTTTCAATGGCTTTCTTACAGTTTCAAGCTTGAAGAACCCATTCAGTATTAACATTAGACTTCTGTATGTGGTAGTCTGCGTGGGTATTTAGTATTACTGGAAGTCTTGGCTTCACCAAGCCAAGCAGTTCTTCACTTTATTTAGTGTTTTATTATTTTGTGAGAACTATGCAGGTGTTTTATTTCTGAAGGCTTTATATTTTATTCAGTTAGATTATTAAAGACTGAATTCTTTATTTGGAATGAAATTGTTGTCTTACACAGTGCGTATAAAAAGGAATAACTGATACACATCGTCACCATATAAAAATGAAAAGAATACCAGTGCAAAATGCGGCAGACAAATACATCTCTAACATATTGCAGAGGCGGATACTGGGACAATACTAATTCAGAAAGGTGCCAGCAAAACGGTGAGAATGTGGAAACAAAAGGAAATCCTGTGTTTATGTGGTGCAGGAAGTTTCCCAGAATCTGACAGAACCCATGCATTTCTGCACCCAGAATACACTTAGAGAACAGTCTAATCATGGCAATAGGTACTACAGAAAATGGTATATTGTGTATAAACCTGGCCTCTCTAATCGCCTCCTTATGTGCCTGGAACATCTTGACGTTGTTCATGTTGGACTGCCAGTATTTCACATATCCCCCGTGGTCTGCTGTCAGCATCCACATATCATTGTGTGACCAAGTCATAGCCCTTACAGGGCTGTCGTGAGCCTGCAAATTCAGAAACAGAACTTCTAGCAAACACATTCGAATACTGTCTGATCCACACAAACACTGAAGTTACTACAGTTCCAACTTAACAGCTGCAGTGAGGAAATGACAACAATGATGATCTAATTACATTCAAGATGCTGGGGGGAAAAATCTCTTACTCTGTATAAAATGGTCTTCTAAATAACAAGAGTATTTGCACTTTGTTTTCAAAGTGTTTCTTTATTATTACAAATACTCCTAGTACATTCTCGAGAACAGTTAATATAGAAGATGGAGGTGGAATGAGAAGCATGAAATCAATTGCCTGTAGCCATGGCCTGACATGGGATCACAACAGAACAGAAGATCTCTAAGGCTCCCATCACCATTCAGACCACAGACCCATGATGAACAGGGTGAAGATGTTTTCCTAAAACATGCTCCAAGACCTCAAGGAAATACAAAGAAATCTTGACAGATTACTTTACCTGCAATATTGTTTCAAAATTGAAAGTCAGTCCATTCCATAAAGTGAACTCCCCACTAGATGCACCAGTGACCAAGCGCCTCCCCTCAGGAGTCCACTGCAAAAGAAACATTTAACTAAACTGTGCAAATATAACATTCAAATATTTCTTCACAATTCTCCAAACAAATCATGAGCTTTTTCAGGGACTCTGTGGAAATGGAAGCTACTAAATGATTTTCTAGAGGATATGAGAAGGCTGAACTGTGCCAGAGGACTTTTGTAACAACAGGACAAAGCCCACTGTAAAAGCAACGAAAAATTCTAGTTGTAAAGAAGAAACAGCTTATTGGCACCAATGCATTTCTAGCACACAATATACATACTAAACAATACTTGTGACATCATGGAAAAGTCATTAAAAGCTGCTATGAGACTCAAACAGCACAGAGACCAAATTTCCTTTTGAGTGAAGACATGCCAGGTCTCCGAAATGTAATAAGGAAGGTAGGAATTGCAACCCAAACTCTTGTCTACTCAGACTTTACAATTTATTTTCCTAAAGCTCTCCATAGAAAGACTGGACACAGAAGCAGTCCATACACTGTACACTTTATTTTTATTTAAAGATGCTTTAACTGCCATCTTGTCAGTCTTGTCTTAACTGCCGTCTTGCCAGAATCAGTCTAATTCAAATTAAGACAACACAACAAAGTAATTCCAACACTGTACTCACCCTGACAACAAACACTGGGCATTTTACTTTATTAGTAGATGTCCGAACAAATTTTGTTGTCACAGCATTCATAGGATTGTTCAGCATACCTATAGGAGGGACCAACTGTAAGAGAAGAAAGAAAAGATTTACTGATGACATTGAAATCAGAACCTTCAAGAAAAGAACACATTCTAAACACCTATTTTTGGAAAAGCGAGGTTATCATTTGCAGGGATATTAGCAGGAGTAAGTTGGTAGAAGTGTTTCAAAGTCTGCATGATTTAACAACACAAACATCCAGAAACAGCATCTTCAAGAGCAGTGTTGCAATCTCAGTGCACGATGAAAGTTCTATGCACAGAAACTAAAAGCCTGTCCAACCTTAAGATCCCTTCATGGACACGGATTCCAACAGAACAAAATAACGTAGAGTGAAAATATCCTTCATAGCTTAAAGGCTTTTTGCAGATACAAAAATAACTTCAGCTGGCATGTAGAATCCTTCCTATCTTCTGGATAAATTTTACTTGCACAACTTTATCAGGGAATAGGAGAATTTTACTTACATCATTGTAATATCCTGCATCGGGCTGGATCGCTCGCATGTCTCGTTGGTCTCTCTGCCACACTCTATTCTGGAAAGAAGAAAACAACTCCTAGTTCATAAAGTGCACTTTCTTGTTAAATAACAGAAAATAATAAACACATGGAGATCCTGTTTGTGAAATTCTAAAGTGCACCAAGGATTTGAGAATGAACTGCGTTGAGAGTTTGGACTCAGGAAAAAGAACATGTGGAATTTATGCTCTGTAATAAAAGGAATCAGGAATGTTTGAAGTGTTAATTTCATCAGATTGAAGTAACTCCAGGAAAGCAGCAGTCCTATGTAACAAGGAACTTTATTGTGGTACTCTGCTGCCCAGTGTCAAAGGTTTATATTCAGGACAAGAATTTACACCATGAGGGCTGTGCCGATGAACTCCCCATGAAATCCACACAGCAGCACAAGCTACAAAGGGACTTTTTGCAGTGCCAGCATAAAGGCAACGCTTTCAAAAGGCCAAAACTTAGAAGACCAAGGGATAACAATGCCTTCAGTTGTTAAATTATGTGAGTTGTCAAACAAAACCTCAAAAACACTTCTTATGAATTTAGGATTATTTATTTTGGCTTTGTGCCACAGACCCTACCAATTTGGATCTCTGCACATACAATCTAGGTAAAACGTTCCCAGCGTGCACCACTCAAGTTTGCTACAACTTCTCAAGCCAAGAGCAAATTACACATTTTCTTGGTTGGTTATTTTTTTTCTAGAACCACATTAAATTAAATCAGCAGTACTGAAGCCAGCAGACAGAGATCAGATTGGGTTTTTTTGTATGTTGTAACTGTGTTAATAAACACAGTTTTGAGGTACTTATTTCGGCCACAGTAAAAAGGGTCCTGAACTTCAAAATTGTTTTTTTTAGAATAGTCCACTACTTATAGAATCCCTTATGGGGCATTCCTAAAACATAAGAATGTGTTAAAAATGTTTGATGTTCAAACATATCTTAGAAGATAATGGATTAGTTATTATGAAAACCTTCTGTTAACACCTACAAGTTGTAACCATGCACTGGCCAGAGCAGATGGAATTAATTTCATCACATTTTTGCAATGTTGCTCTTGCAGCTCCAACAATGCCACTATTTAGATTTCATTCTATTTCTACCAGGGTAACATCCACTACTCATAGAGTAAATCTTGGATGAGAAAAATATATTTCTTAAATAATGCCATCCCATCAGGTGAGCCAAATACGCATTTTTACAGAAACATTTCTTCAATAAAACCTAATGTTTAAGTTTTTCTCTATTTCTTAATTGTATAGAAATTACTTTCAGAGGCCACACTGCAAGCTGAAGCGTTATTTACTAAAGTGATGAGAAAACATTTCTAGTATCCTGATTTTTGGAGGGAAAGGGGCAATGGTTCATCTTCCATTTTCGGAAATTTCTGTTTCAAAACAAAAATAAGAACAACTACATTATTTATAATCAGTTTATGAAAAGTCAGAACATTACATAAGATATTTAAAAGTTGCATTTTATCTTCAGATACACAACACTTGCAGTTTTATTATCAATGCTCAACCTCCTCTTTTTATAAACAATATAACAAATTTACAAGCATTTGTAATTTTTATTGAAAACGCAGCACTGTGGCAAGCTCATTTCTCTCCCTCTCAGGATTTTTCGTAGAGGTGCATAGAGAGAAATGAAAGAGAAAACAATTTCTATTTCTGCTCCTTGTTTTCCTATGTGGAATGTGTCTGGAGAATTGTTTACCTGGAGTGAGTGCTTGATTGGATTCTGGTGAGGATTGTTTGAGCCTGATGGCCAATCCAACCCACCTGGGGCTGGACTCGAGAGAGAGGGTCATGAGTTGAGTTAGAGTCAGAGAAAGTAGTATGTAGTTTTAGCATCCTCCTTTTATGTAGCATATAAATGTATTTTAACATAGTTATGAAAAAGAAATCATTCATTGTCGCTGTGGGACACGTGAAAGCACAACGCAGACTACCTGCTGCTTGCAAGGTAAAAAAGGGACGTTTATTATCTGACTCTGTCTTTTATACCTTCCCAAAGGTGACATTAGATTGGAGAGTGAAGAATGGGCCACCTCTCCAAAGACATTGGACAAACCACTAGTACATTAAGTGTTCTCCACTCCCATAAAAGAATGTAAACAATACGTTGTTTACAGAAATTGTGTGGGAAAGTTCTCCAAAGGAATGTAAACTCAGAAGGCTTTAGGAAGTCTTAAGAATCAGGGTGACAATTCAGCCTTCTGAATTGAGTCAGACATCGTCATTTCTTCCCATTAGGTTCACCTGCATTTACAACACAGCATTACATCTCCCAGTATTCCATATTCCTCTGCGGAAACCGAAACAGGAAGAAGAAGAAGATTTCTAAACAAAAATCAACAACTCCCTTTACTGACCTCCAAATATTTGATGACAGAAGGGTTGTAGTCTATGGTCTTCCTGTTGACGGCTTTCCTCATGCGCTTGCCGTCGAAGGTGAGCTGCTGCATGGCCTGCTGCTGGGCGAAGTCGGGCCGCTTGTAGAAGAGCTGCCGCGGCGCCTGGTGCTGGAAGCGCGGCATGTGGAAGAAGCGGGGCGGGGAGCCGATCTCCGTGGCCATGGCTGCGTCCTGCCCCGAGGCTGCAGAGGTACAGCACAGCTCAGCACACAGGCACTGCTGCAAGCAAGACTTCTCTACAAATTCAATGCCCGCAAAGCATGAGAAAATCCCACTTCAGCATGCCAAAAGTCCCACTTCAGCATCTCCCCTCATTTGGAGTAACAGCTAAGGAAATTACTGTTTCTGTTAAAAAAAAAAAGTGCAGATTCCTCTGAATAATTATTGGTTTTCCTCCGTGCCACATAACACCAACATCAAAGCAGGTAAATAATTTTGAATTCCGTATTGAAATACATCACTGTTAGGTTTGCGTTATTACGCCTAAACTAAAACTGTGCAGGAAAATAATGTCCTAAGTAAAACAGTATAAATAAATGCAAGAAATGGCAAGAACCTTCAACAGAGGATATTTCAGATTCAGTATAAAAAACAGTAAACACCACATTAATAATAATTTAATTTAGCTATTAAAAGAGAAAAAGTTTTCAAATGTTAACTCAGCATCTTATTCTATGACCTAAAAATAAAATTGCACTTCTTTCACACAGCTTCTTGTAAATGGACCACAGATCACATTCTACCTGTACATGTATTTCCAATTCCATGACTGCAAAATAAATGAATTACACATTTAACAAGGAAATACACCTAAGACTCACTGAGAATGTTAAGAAAATGTGAGGGACAGGGAGAAAATACCAATATTCAGAATTTTTCTGACAGAAGGAAATGAGTGTAATATATCATTTTTCAGTCTAAGAAGTCCTTAAGTGGTGAGATTACAGCAACTTCTTCAGAGCTGAAACTACACTGTATGCAGTCTTTAAAGTGTATACTAACTTCAGACTAAGCACTGACACACATGCTGAACCAACAAAAGCTCGAATTACAATTTGAACATGTTCTCCTCCATATTCTAAACTCACTTTGTAAAAGATTTTAACCAAATGAAACTAGCATTGTTATAAAGAGAATCCAAAAACACCTAGAAACTCTTTTGCACAAAGGGTTAAGTGTTTACACAAAAGCAAAGTACATGTAATAAAAAAAAAAGGAAATAGCAGATTCCTTTTTTAAAGACTACATCATCTGCTTGTAAATTGATTAATGTGCTTTCCTATATAGTCAAAATACTTGTATCCTCAATTTGAAAGAGCTGAAAAGTTGTTTCACTGCCAATTTTACAATTTTATCTTGCTATTTTTGATCCCAGTAGTTAAAAAATATTTCCCTTTTTAAGTAGTAAAATAAAGCTAAGATAGAAATGCTGGATAGAGGAGACTGCTTAAAAGCAGCAGAGTTTGATTCTTTTTAAGAGGCTCTTTCTAACCACTAGGAGCAGGCTGTCCTTAAAGTATCAGGCGTTTGTTGGCACAGAGCAGGGAACAGCACTGCAAACTCAGGGCTTACACTCTCCTTTTCATGCTAAAAGTGTGACAGCTATGGAACAAGCTACCTCCAGCACCCAGCTCCTCTACACAAACAACTCCCACACCAAAGCCATCACAACTATTCTCCACTCAAGACAAACAAGTTCAAACTAAACCAGCACATCTCCATGAGTGGGGTAAGGAAATTTAACACCTCTGGCAGGTGTAGCATCTTATTAGATCAACTTGGTAACTGGAATGAAGGGGGGAAGACAGAGAACACCTTGTAAAACCCAAATCTTCATCTGAAAGCTCATATGCCTGGAAGTTGCCCCACTCCAGGCATCCAGGTGGTCTAACCAGACCCCACCATGTGTCTGCTTGCTCCAAAGCACCACTGGAACACACAGCTAGAACATTCAGGTTGCTTGAAAGAAGGTATCCAAACTTCCACACACAGGAATTACTTCAAGACCCCCTAACACCATGTCAAATTCTCTTAAAACTTGGCAGGAGATACCAAACTGTTGCAAAGAAGGTTTCAAGTGTTAAATATTAAAGGTAAAATTTTATTGCTGGGGGTTTATATCAAAAAAGAGAAAGTGGCTTTTTCAAATGAGCAGAACAAGCTGGCATTAAACATACAAGTCCATTAAGTCTCCTAAATGGTAGTTATTTGATAGTCAGAGGAAAAAAAAACCCACAAAAAGCAACAGCACACCACAAGAAGCCCCAGAAACCCAGACGAAATTTCCAGTATTACTCTATCTCAAGTATCAAGTTTGACACTCCCTTATACAATTGAGTGCCCTAAACCAGAGAGAAAAAAGTATTTTTTTCAAAACCATACATCTATACTTGCTAATAGGCAATGCAAAAACAAGCATCAAAAACTGAAACCAAGAATGTGGACAAAGATCTATACTGGAGCTTCCAAAAAAATTTCTGACTTTCAAGAAAAAAATTGCAACAACCAAGAAAACATCCCAAAAATCCCTTTTAGGAAAACACTGCAAAGTAGCAAGTTAAGACTTTATTTTCATGTTCCAGGGGAAGAAAAAAATCTGCCAAAGAAATTTTCTGCATTACTATCGTTGGTAAATACAGCACTAGGTGTGATATGGGTCAGTTTGGACTGCAATAGTTTCAGGTGAGTCCAGCCAGTGTCTAGCTTAAATCAGCATAAACAACCTTCCCTTAAGGTGCAATCCATGTCAGTAAAAAGTAGGACCAAAGCCATAAACAGGTTAAGGACACCTCTTCATGCCTACAGATCCTTCCACACTCAGGATTCTGACAAGACAATAAGTGATACCACAACTACAACAACATGACAGATAAATGAGGAATTTATATTCTGTTTCTTCAACTTCTGAGATCTTTTCATGCCTCTTAGCATGAAAAGACCTCTATCTGCATTACCAGCTCTGAGAAAAGTATTGTTTATCCAGTTGCTTAGGACCATTTTCTTCTAATAATTGCTTCAAACATTGTTTTATCCACATAATACCCTCATCACATCATGTGTGCATATGACCAGTATATAATCTATGGATATGTAAAAAATGTGTGCACATACACATATATTAGGGCATATACACACCAAGTGAAGCTTCCAAACAAAGCAGCTTTAGAAATAAATGGTTTTGGCTCATACTTCTCACATGAAACCAGAGCATTTTTTCTCAAAGACCTCTATTCAAGTCAGAAAAATATACCCATTTAATGGTTATCAGTATCCTACTTGGTCTACTGTTGGAACAAACCAAACGCTCAGCAGGCTCTCCTTAAAATCTTTTTTATTAACTACAATGTCAGAATTCAGCATGTCTATTAGCTAAAGCTCCTTTTGTATTGGCAGTGTGAGCAGAAACATGCAAAGAAATATTAGAGGACATGGCACAATACAGTGTAGTAACATCTGATTTCCTAGTTTAAGCAAAGTACCAACCTTTTTCTTTATTTTAGAGTCCATCAACAGGAGTTTAAATGGAAGAAACCACATCTTCCTTAATTCACACAATTAGAAGCAACAACAAGATTTGTTTCCAACATCTGGCATAAGTCACTTCTCCTTTTATTGTTTCTGGACAGTAATGTTAACAACCAATTGCTTTTTCTTCTAATTCATTATACCCTTATCATAATGTGAACTATTCCATTTTTCCATGCAGCCTTATTAGTTTTTCACTCCCTGTCCCCATGAAGACCCCATTCAAAGCCTGGCACATTTTGAGAAATAAATGAATTTGTGATATAGAGCCTACAGAGCAAGGCCTTCATTCCTCCCTAGTAGTGCCATAAAGGATGACAGGTCTATTAATGCCATCAAGCAATCAGAGGGATGTTACTGGAGAACAGAATTAAAAGTGAAAAAAGTCCCAAAAATCTCACACCCAGAGCAGCATGGAGTAAAGGCAGATGGATTTGGACAGTTTATTTGCTTTTTAAAATGAGCAAAAAGGCACATACAGTATTAGTCAATTACAGAAAATGGTTACTGCTAATTAATGTACCCAAATAAGGCTAAAAAGGTAATACTGGCATTTAACACAGTAACATAGTTACTTTACTATCTTATTTGGATATGGTTTGCATTAAGTCTTGAAAATTGACAGATTGCAACTTCAATCATGCAACCAAAGCATTTCACACATAATTTCACTGAATCAAAACAAAACAAATTAGGGTACTCAAACCAAACTAAAACCACCAAACTAGTAAAGCTTGGAGAAAGAGAGTCATGGCTTATATTAAATACATCACTACTTATAGGTAGCTCAATAGTACAAGAAAAAAAAAACTGAGTTATGTATAATCTTGACCTATTTCATACAATTTATGCAAAAAATAAAGCTCATCATTAATGAAATAGTTAACTGTACCTAAAACATCCCTGCATATTTAAGAGGTATTTTTAATTGAAGGTGAAGAAACTTGGGTGGAATACAGTGTTATAAACTGAGTATGTCATAAGAAAAGTATGTTTCCAAATGGGAGCAAAGAAGATTCTGGTGCAGAGTGCAGGCAGCAGTCACTTTGCAAACCCCACACTGCTCACTAAACACAACACCCCAAAGCTTAGCAGACATTGCCTGAAATGGCTACAGCAGCCAAGGAAAAGGAGTGCTACACATTTCCTACACATACAGTGTATCTGTAGAACACTTCTTTAAATTATAAAGCACACACAGGCTCTAAAGCCAGCCCTTTTCCAGTGTAACACAAACAGCGAGAGTTGACAGGAGTTATTTGCACTGCAACAGCTCACAGGAGTTCAAAACACATGGTTTGGGACACTTGGTGAAAAACACAGGATTGGAGAAAAGCTACCTCAGCTTCCTGAGCCTAAGAATAAGGTAAGAACAACACAGTGCAAAGGCACCTTGCCAAGTCTACTGTTCAATACATCTTTGATTAGCAAAGCACTTTTATATCTACAATGTATAGACAACTATATTTCTTTTAAAAATTAAGATGTTCCACTGTCAGTAGTCATCTCTGAGGAAACATCTCTCTGCATTTTTATATTTGTGTATTAAGAAATCTATAAGTGCATCTGAATAAGCACACCTGTTCAGAAAAACAGTAATATCAAATACAATTTAATGTTATTCCTTTCCCTCTTTTACAGAGTTTCAACTCTTAATATCCACATTCCAAAAGAGCTGCCTTTCTTTTCTCCTTTGGGAATTGTGCATTCCTGCTCTGGACACCAGCAGTGGATCCTTCCATGGCTTCCCCTTCCTAAGGAAAGCACTTTCTTGGTCTCTTCATCTGCCTCTTTCCTTTCCTGGGAATCCTACCTCTTCCCAGTGCAAAAGAATTAAGTGGAAAGACATAT